AAACACGAGTACAAGAGCGCACGCGTCTGAGGGACGCAGAGCGCGCGCGAGGCCGCATCAAGCAGGAGCGCGCACACTCTGTGTACACCCACGATGACGCGCGCGCACACAGAGACAGAAACAGGACAACACATGGGTAGTGTCTGAGCTCTGCCACCAAAACAAGAATTTACAAGACCAGAGTGGCAGAACCCTGACAATCATCTGGAACATAATTAAAATTAAACTGTAAGTCCTTATCTCTTTGCGTCGTGTCCTCTGGAAGCCCAAACAGCACACAGAAGAAGCTGTGGAAATAGCAGAGTTTGGTTGGTATTTTAGCTTTCACTGCTTTAACATTACAATGCCTCTGGCCACGCCCTTCACTGTGCAGGGTGTGTGTCCAAGGTGAATGCACATAACCAGAAGCCCTTGTGATCTCACTAGCCTGGATGTATGTTTTTGTAGTCCTCAAATTCGTTCGCAGTAGGCTTTGCTACACTCTTTTTTTTTCTTTTTAACTCGTTCAAAGTAATTATTTAAAATGAGCTGAAACTACACAAATCTTTAGATTTGATTGGGACAACTTATTTTTTGTGTTCAATCCACATAAATTTGTTCAAAGTGTTAAGTTAACTTAATTTGTGTTGGGACAACATAAATGTATTGTATGTAACCCTGCATTATTACAATTTAAGCTAACTTTGTAAAAGCGAATGTCTCCTTTTGCATTAAACTTTGAGAGCATTACATTCAGAGATGTTTGTTCACACAGCTACAATTTACATCAACTAAAATTTTAAATATGATATTGTTATGTACCACCCCTTTCCGAACTTTCGCTTCAGTTGCTTATGGGAGAAATGTCTAGAAATAATTAACAGCAGAAAGCGGTCAAAATACTTGCTCTACAAACAAGTGTTTGCATGATTATACAGACAAAGCAGAATAATATAATAAGAAATTATCAGTTTGCAATATCAACCAGCAAAACAAGCTGTTTTTAATGTGTAAAAATGATTGGAAATTAATGAGACCCGCATTCTCACACACACACACACACACAAACACACACAAACACACAAACACACAAACACACACAATTCCTGAAAATATAACTCATGCAGGGCTCTAAAAATGTTTTATTATTAACCCTTGTGAATCATTCAGATTGACTCCCTTTGGTGTGTGTGTGTGTGTGTGTGTGTGTGTGTGTGTGTGTGTGTGTGTGTGTACCCCGTAAGCGTCCATCGAAGCGTGGGTTAGTGGCCACTCTGAGCCCCGGGTGCGGCAGCAGGAAGCAGCTGATGCTGGAGAAGCAGGAGTGGATGTGTTTCCTGACGCTCTGCAGCTCCTCGTGCTGATTCTGCGTTACCTGAACAACACAGCAAGATTATTATAGTTAACGAAAACAACAAAAAACTAAAATGAAAAATGATTTGCGTTAATTGAAATAAAAATAAAAACAAGAGTTAATAAAGTAGAACTGCCTGAAACTAATTAACATTACAGCACAAACTCCTTCGTTTGCGTATTTGTTAATGTATTTAATACACACTGTGAGCCTGTTAGCAGTACATCTGTTTACTCCGCGCTGCAGGGCTCTGACCTGTACGGCACCTCAAGAGTCTCTAATCCTGCTGCCATTGGCCCGATCAGGCCGGTCCTCCTCCAGTCATCCTCACTGTTACTCCCACGACTAAAACAACAGCTGGACGTGACAGCAGCGGCAACAGCACTACATATGACCCGAGCAGATCCTTAAGAGTGTTCATTTCACACATTTGTGCCCAATAATGAGTTTATTTTCTGTATTAGTGATCACGAACGAGTCATTCTCATTAACCGGATCTTCTAAGTGAATTGGTGGAACTAGTTTACCAAATTAAACTGAGCTATTTGAAACGATTTGCGTCTTCAGTAAGCACTCTTATTCACAAACTACTGACCTATTAACATGCCTGACCCCCCTCTGACTCTAAATAAACCAATATATACTGAGTTATTCAGCTATTAGAACAGTACAGTGAGATCAGATTTGAGAAGCGGTGAACAGATAATGCAGTGAACTGAACACAAACAGTACAGGACCACCTGCTGTGACTGAACTAGATCAACACCAGCGCGGGTAAAGTGAGGGCTTGATGAGGGGATCTGGCCAAACCAGTTTACTTCATCACAGAGAGCCGTAATGGAGTGTAAATAAGTGAATCATGACTCCGTTTGTGATGATTTACTGACTGATATTATGATTGCTGGCTGCATATTGTTGATATGTTGAGCCCAAACACAAAAGATCCGGTTCGTGTTTAAAATCTGAACTTCCCACCATTACGGTGTGTATCTCTCCTCAGATGTAGCCTTGCACACACACACTGTATTTAGACCTGCTATGTGGGCTGTGCTGTATGTCAGTTTGAGGATGTGTTCATGTGTCCTCTGATTACAGGTGTTAAAACATTTATGGTTGAGTTTTATTATACAATATTTATTCTGATGATTTAGAAGCTTACACCCAACACATGTCCTCATTTAGAAAATAAATAAAACTGAAACTAATAAAAACTAAACTATTTAAAATATAGAAACTAATATTATAAGCGTACAATACAGCACAGATGTATAGAACACACACACACACACACACACACACACACACTCACACTCACCTGCAGACGCTTCTCCAGGAACTGGTTTCCTCCCTCCAGACCGTAAGGATGCTCATACGGGTAACTCCAGTCCCGGATCAGAAACATCAGAGACTGAAAACAAACACACACACACACACACACACGCGCACACACGCACACACACGCGCACACACGCGCACACACGCGCACACACGCGCACACACGCGCACACACGCGCACACACGCGCACACACACGCACACACACGCACAC